GGCAGTGGCGTTTTACATACCCGACCAGGCGACTCTGCTGCGCAAGGCGGCGCAACAGGAGCAGGAGCTGCTGCGCCTACGCGACTCCCAGTGGCGCTTCCTGGCCACCATCGTGCTCGAGACCCTACGCCAGTTCATGGACAGTGCGCCCAGCCAGTGCCTTCCACGGTCGGTGGCCGGCCGCAAGTGCAGCAAATACCGCAAGCCTTCACAGTGAGCAGTTCCGAGAGAGATAGAGAGAGCCGAGGAGCGGAGAGGAGCGCCAAGCAGCAGCAGCAAAGAGAAGAGAACTACAATCCAGTCCAGAATTCCAAGTACAAAGTGGAAAACCCCAGTCATGAATCAGCCACACCTCTGTCCAGGATATTCATATATTTCAACCTGCCCAATACCACCCGACTACCACTGCCCCAGGACTCCCACCCGACAAACCTCTTTATAGTTTACTCATCAAAGCGATTGTGATAATGGTTTTGTTTCTACGAAAAAATTATACAACAAAAAATGTCCCTAAAGAATATTTTCACACAAAAAAGAAAAACATTTTGTACGGAAAACAAAAAAATAGTTTCTCTAGCAATAATTTCAGTTAAGTTAAGCATATTTTAATGAATTCCCGACTCCCAACTCGATGTATATTTATGTAATCTGAAATAGTTTGTAAGATCAATTGTAAGCGATATTATTTTTTTCCAAGTTTTTTATGTCAAGAACAAAACACGAAACAAGAAGAATACTGAAACGAATGTCGACGCTGAAGGTTGGCCAGAAATTGTATCAATTTTTTGCCAAACATAAAAGTCAATAAAACAAACAATGAGAAAATGTAAACGAAAAGCACACACAGTCGTATATATTTCATTTATTGATGGCGGTAATATTTCAGCTCATTTATACATAGATTAAAGACGCAGGCGGAAGCACATGACGGAACACAATTGATGAACTCTTGCCAAATATTCAGGAACAAGCTGTCGATTCTGCGGGAATTTATATTTTTGAAGAAGGTTTTGCCGTCGGATGTTCGAGATATGAAATAAATCAATTGTTTTCATCACATTTCCGACGGCGTTTTCCTTCTTGATCTTGACATTGCATACACAAGAGGTTTACCCCTGGATAAAAGATCAACCTGTGACCAGAAAAACAAATTTAAAATAAACTAATTCTGAAGGCAAGTGCTCTTTATTTTTTACCGACGGCTTTGATGGATTTTATTTAATGTTAAACTGCGCTCTTCTTTCAAAATAAAATATATTGGAAACATTAATTTACATAGAAGCTGAACATCACTTGCGTTAAATGTTTTTCCGACGGCAGCCGAGTACTTTAAAGATTTCAAAATAGTTCCGTCGGTAATTGTTTACTCACATAAATCACGGCAGTTCGTATTCTCATACTTGGTTTAGGTTCGATCTGCAAATATAGAATATAATATATAAAATGTATGCAATATATAAAACTAAAGTATGGCATTTATCGGCACTGGCATGATTACACACAAGCCCCATTCCCTTTATGTTGTTTGGGGGAAAATTGTTACATCTAGACGAACTTTTTCCACTCTGGCAAAGTTTCAGCCACTCCGACAACGTTGTTCAACAAGCGGCAGTCAAACACGCAGGGAAAATTCAATTATGCAAAAAAGAAATGCTCGTACAAAAATATTTTCCCAAGATTTTTGCGCTGCGAAACTTTGTAGCAGCGGAGGAGTCCCGTCCCTGCAGCGGCGACCCCTTGATAATGTCAAAAAATTAGGTGCTAACAAAACAATTTGCATTCTTAAGTTAATTTTTGGCCAAAGTGCTCGGAGGCAGAACAGCAGCAGCAGCAGCAGCAACAAAAAAATCAATGTGCAATCCTAGAGGGTCTCGTCAGCAAGCGAGGATATGGCTTGGGCGCCGCTCGACAAGGACTTTTAATTAAACTTTTGCACTTATGCAGCTGCCGAAACTGCATCCAGCACATCCTGCAGTTCAATTCACTTTGATTGCCCGAAAAAAAGTTCATGAAAAGTTTACCCGCTCTCGCGGAAAAAGAAATCAAAAATTTCACTTTGCCAAACAAAACTAATTAACGTTAAACAGATAAAAGTTGTGCCTCGAAGGTGGGGGTGTGGCAGCAGCATATGAAAAATAATTAACACAAGTTTATGATTATGTTCGAGTGGAAGTTGCGCCAAATGTCGAGCGATTTGTAAGCAGCAGCAGCAGCAGCAGCAGCAGCAGAAGGAGCTGTAAAAATCACAGACAGAACACATTTAATCCCTGGCAAACGGATGAAGGGATTGGCAACCATTTGGCCAAAAAACTTCTGGCTCGCTCAGCTGTTAATTAGTTCGAAAAGTGTTCTGTTCAAATGGCTGGCTGGCGGGAGCGATCGGTAGAGCATCTCGAACAGAGTTAAGTGAACTCGAATCAAAACAAAAGTTTATCCATAAATTTCCAGGAATTGTTTTCGTATCCCTTTTATTTTTCTTGGGCCCTAACCTTGACTGATCTGTATCTGTTCGTACCATACGTTCCACATAATTGTCTGGCATTTAGGACGTTTCAGATTCTGCTGTTCTTTTATTTTCTGTTTTCTAAATGAATTATTTCGATTAGCCGAACACAGGCACAAAAGACAGACAGAAAGACAGCAAAGCAAACCCAAAGATATTTCTGCAAAAACTTAACAAAGACCCAAACAGACCCAAAAAGGCAAATCCCTAAACAAAAGGTAAATATTAAACTGCAAGAGAGCATCGACTTGGGGCATACCCATTGCTTAAAAAGAAGATCAAGTCTCTTGGTGGTATTTCCATCAGTAATCAAATAAACCCAATGGCCTTCTGGCATACCTTTCTGACAACCCAAAATATTGGTAAAACTCATTTTTTGTGGCTCTTTCTTTTGGCCATATTTCTCCCCAACCATGTTCGGGTTAAATAAAATGAAATCAAATCAAATCAGCCAACAACTAATGGCAGGCCTAATGAAATTACGATCGGACTGTGTGCGGCAAAGTAGAAATGTTCCTGTAAGGGAATTATGAGTGCAAGGGTCCTGTCCTGGCTCGAGGATTAGCCGCAGTCGTGGGTGTCGTGTAATCAATTGGAAAACAGAGTCCATGGCCATGCGCCGTCGCTGGCTATTATGACAGTTGTGCAACTGAAGAGGAAATTGGATTAGACGCCACAGAGAGCAGCTCAAAAACGAGGTTACAAATTCTGTAACCTATGGAAAAAACGCCCCCAAAAATTGTAATCAAAATAGAAGAAAAATAAAAAGAAAAAAATAACATCATTTATAAGCCACGAAAGGCGACAGACAGCGGCGGCTCCATGAAAACGAAAACATTTAAAAATATACTTTGATTGATGATATCTAGTCATACAGTCAAGAAGTCCAGACGAAGGACACGGACACGGACACGGACACGCACACGTCAGGAAACGAAGCAACAAAAAAAAAAAAAGAAAAGAAAGAAAATGAAAGCAGGGAAAATACATTAATTATTGAAATGTCATTAAAAGGAAAACCCAAACTGACATCCTCCAGATTCGCATGAATATTAAATAGGAAATGTATTCAAGAAGAAAAGAAAACCAAATTATGACGAGACGATGCGTGACCGCCATTCAGTAAGGAGTCTCAGGATGTGCGTTGAAGGAAACTTTCGCCCAGCGAGAGGTGAAGCAAATCACGCAAGATAATGCTACTTCTACTGATAATGATGATGATGATGATGGAACACACTCATCATTCGCAGCGTATTAATTACAGGGTGGAAGTTCCATCTGTATATAGAGGAAGTCCCAGACCATTCATCAAGTTGAGCGAACATTTTAATTAGTTCTTCGTGCTGCCTGCCATTTGAGACCCAAAATCACGACTAAATAGTTATCCAAATGGCAAATTATCCATAGATGTATTTGAGTTCTGGTAATGCCCTGCCACACCCCCGATATGCAAACAAACATGCCCCGGTCCACCCCTGTCCATAGAATGCATTCAAATTTGCCAGAAAAGAAACTCTGAGACACATAACTGTCAGGCCAAAAAAGGACAACCCGTCGTGCCACAAATTTGTTTGCGAAAAATCTGCACACAACATTTGAGGAACGAATGCGAGAATACCCTGTAGGGCAGTGTGGCTTCAGCGGTCTCAAATCTCCAACCAAATAGCAGAACTCTCGGCCAAGGAGCATGACAAGAAGGAAGAAATTTTCGCGCCTTCATATGGAGCTGCGACAGGCGTCAGAAACTATAAAATAAACAAACTTCCGTTGTGTGGCAGAGGGGATCAACAGCATCATCGGGATGATGGCACCGCTCCGATGCGAGCTGATGAGTTTGATGGGCTCGACATACGCTCGGGCCATTGATTGCATCATAAATAATGAATTTATGCTGACAGGCAGTCGTCAGAGGTCCTCCGTTTGATGCTCTTCGCTCCACACGGTGGTTGGTTGTCCCTTGGTTGGGGCATCCTTTTTCGTCAACTAATAAAATATGTTTTTATTGCAATCAACAGTGTGTGAGAGAGCAGGGGGAGAGGAGAGGAGAGGAGCACAGAGCACAGCACACACACACACACGCACCGCGTATAAAAATTAATGAGCCACGGAGGCGCGCACCCTTCGGCATCCGGAATGCCCGGCATCAGGATCAGCAATGGTATATACAAATGCCAGATCTCAGATCCTTTTGCCCCCCAATGCAAAAATACATTTCCATTTTTGCGCATTTTCCTGTTCTGCATTCGACTGACTCTGACTCTGACTCTGACTCTGCCTCTGTCCCCTGTTGTTGTTTCATCGCATAAAAGTTAATGTTTGCCAAACGAAATGTTAATAATATTCATAAATATGTCAGCTAATAAAAATCTGCGGTTTGATTGTCACCTTTATGGAAACTGCGTCTGGCTTTTATACAATATTGCAATGCATTTCCTTAAGGGTCTTCTGCCTGCAGCATATTTGCCTTGTCTTTGGTTATTTCTTTGCCAAGTAAGTTAACCAAATTGGGCTTTATGCTGGTGCTAATTGAGACCAATTGTTTGTCTAAAGATGCTGAATGTCTGGGAACGCAAAGGTGATTGAATGAAAATGGAAAGTGCTGGGAGTATGTCAGGGTTCTAGATAAGTCAAAGGAGTCTTTAAAAATTATTCAAAATTAATTTCTACATTTTCCAAACATTTTCAAGCAGGTTTCTGCCAACCCTGCAACAGTGTTGCACAACTGCCAGCTGTTGTCGCTTTGAAATAGAGCAACTAAAACCCGAAAAGCAGGAAAAACGATAAGCCTTGCACGAGGACTTTCAGCCACGGGGGTGATATTTTTACGATATTAAATGCAGAGATTTTTATAGATTTATATCCACAATTCGACGTCGTTCGTTTGCTTTTTATTGAAATAGGAAACTTTCTGCATATTGCATGCATCAAATGCTACGGCAACTTGCCACATTTCTTCGGGCACATCTCCGCTTCTGACCATTTTTATGACAAAGAATGAAATGAGACGAAATTATTGACGAGTGCTGGAGAGAGAGACAGAGAGAGAGAGAGAGAGAGAGAGAGGACAAAACGGAAATCGCTGGCAATAGTCGAAGGATATAAAAAATAGCGAAATTACTTTTGATAAAACGACAGCAAGGACTTCGAGGACACAAAAAACTACACATAAGCTGCAGGCCGAGAAGACCGAGGAAGGAAGCAGCAGGAAGTCAGCTACAAGAGGGCGTTGATTTGTCACAAGTAGAATTATGGACAAAGAAGCCAAAGAGAGGAGGAGAGCAGCTGCCACAGGAACTGGGAACAACAACAAACACTTCAATTACCGG